AATAAAAGTCTGACCTTAAAATGCGTCATCTAACTTCTGTGCATCTACCTGGAATAGACCTGGATATCTGACATACCAAACATCGAATGTAAAGTTATTTTCTGGATCGTAAATGAATTCAGTTATGGAATTTGCCAGAAATTCCATTTTCATATTTCTCTGTGAAGAATTCGATGAATTAGTCCAAATCGATGAAATGTGATTAATAAAATCTTGTTGCTACTTCATGAAAAATTGCTGTTGTTGCTTTTGCTCTATTTGCTGCTGTTGTTGGTTTTGAATGAGTAACATGAGTGCCTCTTTGAGATCCATGATCCTTGTCGCCAATTGTTGTGTTTGCACTAACTGATTCGAGTTCTTAATTGTAATGAAAAATATGCGCTAATAAGAATATACGAGAATGCCGATATAAAGAGTGTATGTCTTTTGAATGACTATACACAACTGACTGTCTGTGTCGACCTTCCGACTATCGACAGCCAGATCGTTGCCGAGCCGCGCTTGTTGTGTCGTTTATGACATAGGCGTAAGTAACAATTGTAGAACATCGAAGAAAATTCTTTGAAGTCGTGGTGTTGGAATGCTAAAACCTTTTTACTTATTGACTCTAACGGCTTATGATCGGTGAGTATCGTCAGAATTTTACTGTAAATGAAGTTGTGCCGTAAAGGAACAGCACAGGAATCGGGATCCAGTGAAAGGCAAATAGACACTTGATGTTCAAGTTAATAAACGGTATATTTAAATAACTTGATACACGTTGGCTGCCTCCGTGGCCGACCCCGGATCCGGGAGTTCGCCATCATTATCGGGCCGGTAAAGTACATTTTAAAAAAGGAAGAAGGGACGCTAGTGCTCTGCGGCGAGGTACAACCCCGAAATTAGCCCTCTTCGTGTTGTACTCGCGCCAGCGTCCAGCCACCTCAGGGGCGGACGTAACAATAATGTACAAGTACAGAGAGGGGGGAGTTTTTAATATTTCTTTAATCTTGTTAAGGGCTTCTTCTTGCTCTATGTCCCAGTGCCATACTGCATCTTTTGTTAGCAGCTGTCACAAAGGTTCAGTTATTTCTGATAATTTTGGTACGAACTTAGACAAATAAGTAATGATGCATACGCACTCCTTGAATATCTTTTGGTGTTTTTAGCCTATCAATCGCCTTGAGCTTTTCTGAATCCGGCTTCAAACCTTCATTGGTCTAATGAGCCTACACAATATGGCCTAAAAATGGCACTGATGTTTTTTCAAAAAAACATTTCTCTTTATTCAAACGTATTCCGGCTTCATATAATCTCAATAGTACGTTGTCCGTTACTTCTTGTAGCTGTTCTCCCGTATATGCGTACATTAAAATATCATCTATAGATATTTCTACAGATATAACACTGTCGATGTCTTGTAGTATCTTCGTCATTATCTCTTGAAAAATCTCGGGAGCTGATTTGATACCCGTTGAATTAATGGCGAATGAGACGCCACGGGCATATGCCCACCACACGTGCTACCGGGTATTCCGTCAGTGGCGATGTGGGCGAGAAAAGAAATTCGACTTCTCTCTTGGTTTAATTAACTTTATTTGGCGTTCACAGGATACGAAACTGTGTCAAAAATTGAAGGAATCACACGCCGAATAAAAGCGTCTCGAACTTCGTTGTTCGCCAGTGCAGTAACAGATTTACTCTCCCTCTCTACGTACACAAGAGCTCTGAACGCTTTCTCTTAGTAATATGCGTCGCGCCGAAAGTAACTAGGAATACGATCATAACGCAAGATCGCGAACGGCGTGAAATACAGTCCTGTGTGGACGGTAAATAATACATGTGGCTTATGTCTTAAACTATGAAAACGCAAATAAAGAATGAGAATTAGAATGATTATTATACAACGCCGCCTCCCTTGAAAGGCTCCGCTTTCAAAATGTAAACGCAAAGTAAAACAAAGAAAGGAAACTGGATCGTCACCGCAACGCAAGCTCTCAGAGCCTCATGAAATTAGAAACAAATTAACATTGAGGGTTAACAAAATATGCGACGCTACAATGCTCGATACGTGCAAACGCAAATACAATTTTGATGTGCTTAATCTAAGTTAAAATACAATAAAGTAACGCGTAAGACAGACCATATTTGATGTTTAGCATTTATCACTGGAGTCATCTATAGGTAATATCGCTATCCTACTAAACGGTTCTTGTAAGAACGCCCTTTGCCGTTTTTATCTCAACGGTTCTTATAACGCAGTCTGTGCCCCGATGTACGCGTTCTAACAGCCAGTGAAGAGGGTGCAAACGCTGCTGTTTTATTAGTACGACTTGACCGATCTTTAATTGATCCCCTTTGCTAGTCTTCCATTTGGAACGCGATTGTAAAGTGTGAAGGAATTCTGAACTCCACCGTCGCCAGAAATGTTGCCTTAATTGTTTTACGCGTTGCCAACGGACGAGCCTATTTTCGTTTGTGTCGCTCAAATCGTGGCAAGGAAAACTGTCTACGGTAATGTCGATTAGAAAATGTCCGGGGCTCAAATAAGCAAGGTCATTAGGGTCTTCGCTCAATGGAGCGATGGACCGTAAAATTAATATTACTTCTATCTCACATAAAATAGTCTACATCTCTTCGAAGGTCAAATGGACATTGCCGATTATACGATATAGGTGGAATTTTGCAGACTTTATCGCGGTTTCCCATAGTCCTCCACAATGTAGAGCGTTGGGTTGTAAGAAGTTCCATGTTATTCGCTGATCGCGCAAAAACAACCGGATTTCATCTTGTACGCACACTTTTTCCAGAAAATTAAAGAATTCGCGCAAACGATGACGAAAACCTACGAAATTAGTGCCGTTGTTTGACCACATGCGAGAAGGCTTCTCTCTGCGTGATATAAACCATTTGAAGGCTGCCAAGGACGTGTCGGTGGTTAAATCACTAACTAGTTCCATGTGTACCGCCTTAGTAGCGAAACATACGAATATGGCAATATATGTCTTGTGAGTGCGCGCGTTTCTGCGTTTCCCCTCTCGCAAAGTTAACGGACCGACGTAGTCCACACCGCAATACGAGAATGGCCGGGAAATAGTGATGCGACTAGGTGGTAGGGAGCTCATAATGGTTTCTGAATGAACAGACTGAACCTTAAAACATTTAACGCACTTTAGAATGATTTTTCGTGTTAGAGATCGCAATGCTAAAGGCCAAAATTGCTGCGGACGGCGGCCATTGTAGCCTGGATGCCGGCATGTAAGCTACGTACATGCGCTTGCGTAACAATTCGTCTTGATAGCTCGTAATTTTTTGGTAGCAGCACCGGATGACGCGTGTTCTGTGTTAGATTTGAATGTTTTAATCGACCTCCAACTTTAATTAAGCCGTCGTCGAGAAATGGATTGAGTGTAAAAACCCTACTGGATGCATCGAGGCTCTTGTTACTGCTCAAGGCCTTGTACTCCTCGGGAAAGAAATGCTGTTGCACAATCCTACACATCAGTTGCAATGCTGCCGTGGCCTCTTCGTGAGAGACGAAATGTGTTGTAATGCCTTCAGGTCTCCGTAAGGTCCTCAAGCAATATGCCACAACGCGACAGGCTCTGTCAGGATTTGAATGTTTGTTGAGTATGTCTTCTATGACACTGGTGTTAACGACTGCAATGTTATCGTGTATTCTCCGAAGCTCGGAGGTGTCCCCTTGGCATAAGAACTGATTGGCGGGCCAGAAATTCTCATTGTATTGCAGAAAGTAGGCACCCTTCCACCAAGTGGTTGCATGAATTAAATCGCTTGGATTCGACCCTTGCGAAAGTAGGTCGGCTGGACTTTGACTGGACGGTACGTGTCGCCAATCCGTTGCTTGAGTCAACCGTTGTATTTCCCCTATGCGATTTGCGACGAAAACTGAGAACATGCGTGATTCTGAGGATATCCAGTTCAATGTAATTGTTGAATCCGACCATAGATGTCGGACGTATCTATTGACAATCGAACCTTATCCATCAGCCGTGCCAGTAGAAGCGCTGCAGATAGTTCCAGCCTTGGTAATTATACAGCCTTCAACAGCGCAATCCTCGATTTGGAGCAAAGTAGTTCTGAACGATACTTATTCGCATCCAGCTCAGTCCGGATGTACACACATGCTCCATATGCATTTTGACTGTCATCGCAGAAGCCGTGTATTTGTATATGTTAACGTTCAATGCTGTATTTGACACGTCTGGGAATTGCTAGTTGGTTGAGCTCCGTCAGTTGCGAATTGAAGGTAATCCATCGCACGTGTAAATTCTGAGGAACTGACTCGTCCCAATCGATACCTGCTCGCCAGAGATCTTGCAGTATTAACTTTGCGACAACGATGATAGGACCAAGTAAGCATAGCGGATCGTACAATTTGGAAACATCCGACAGAATTTTCCGCTTTAAAATCGTATCATGTGACATGACCGGGTCGTATGAAAAATGCAACGTGTCTGTATTGGCGTTCCACTTGATCCCCAAGATGTGAGCGCTTTCGTCGTCGCCGATGACAACAGGTTTGTTATTTCTATTGGATATTGCGTCCAGTAATTCTGGGGTGTTGGAAGCCCATTTTCCAAGCTCAAAAGCGCCTAGCCTCAGTAGTTCGATCGTTTCATCTTGAAGAGTCTCCCCGCTTCTTGGATGGTGTCTGCTCCGGTTAGTAGATCGTCGACATAGAAGTCACGCCTTATACACGCCGATCCAACGGAAAACGTCCACGAGTGACGGTCGACTAGATGTTTAATGCACCTGGTTGTAAGAAAGGAAGCCGATGGACGTGCCATAGGTCACTGTCATCAGTTCGTATGTCTTTATATCCGCCTTAGAGTCACTGCGCCACAAAATCCTTTGAAGAGATGTTTACGAAGGGTGTATAAGCACCTGTCGGTACATTTTTATGATGTCTGCGATCAGAGCGTGAACGAAGGTGCGGAATCGCATTACAATTGACATCAAATGTTGCTGCACCACTGGGCCGACTCTAAAGACGTCGTTCAATGATAATCCTGTGTCGCTCTTACTTGAAGCATGGAAAACGACACGAATCTTGGATGATTGTTTGGCGCCCTTAAAGACGTCATGATGAGAAAAGTAAGAAGATGTGCTGCATCCTCAAGTGGAGGAGTGCTGACTTCCTTCATGTGTCCTAGTTTCAAATATTCGTCCATGAAGTGGACATACTGGTCCCTTAAGTTAGGATCCCGAATGAACCGACGCTCTGTTCCTTGTAAACGTTGCAATGCGATGTCTCTTGTGTTGCCAAAGTTGCCGATTAATTCTTCCTTGATAGGAAGTTTCTCCCGTGATCTAACCTGTTCTAACTAACGTTAGCTTGCGAAATGCTCATCGCAGTAAGCATCGTCTCTGTTGTTCATCACGTTATCGCCGAGATGTTCAATTTGCCAGAATCGTGTCAATTGATCATGCAATTGAGCATTGAATATGGTTGTGGTAAATACCTGCACGTTTTCTGCAGGCGTCACCGTACCGCTGCGACGTCCGGCCAGAATCCACCCTAATCTTGTTTTTTGTAGGGTCGAATGATTTTGAGTGTCCACGATTTGTCCTACACAGAGTAGCTCCCAAAAGATTTCTGCTCCGATCAGAATGTCGACCTTGGAGGAAAGGTTGAAATGAGGTAGCTTGAGGTTACGAGGAATGTTGTAGTCTCCAAGCCTTGAGGTAGTCATTGGAAGCTTCTCGGTTATCCGCTCTGTTACTATGCAGTCTATCGCTCTACAATAAGAATTCAATCTTGATTGCAGCGTTACCTTGGTCGCCATTGTAGCGTTTGACGTAGTATTGTTGACACCAGATATTGTGACGTTTATCGGGTGTAGCTGTAAACCAAGAGTTACGGCGAGTTGTTTCGAAATGAAACTTGCTTGAGATCCAGAATCTAGTAATGCTCGGCAAGGATGCGATGTACCATCGGAGGCAATGACATTGACCACAGCTGTGGAAAGCATGATATGATCCTTGCCTTGATTGTTCGACGAATGTGTCGTCACGGTTGTCGTGGAATTTTGTTTACTTGATTCCTTTGTGTTGTCGGAAGTGCCGGAGTGATCCTCCGACGAACTGGTGCTCGTATGCAACAACGTGTTGTGTTTGACATTGCAGATTTTACAACCTATGGATGTGCATTTGTCCAATGGATGCATCGGAGAGCGGAGACAGTTGACACAGAACTTACGATTGCGTACCTCTACTGTCCTTTGCTTGATCGGCCGTGCCAAGAACTCCTTGCAGAAATATATGGGATGCTCGCCCTTGCAATAGTTGCACTTGGATTTGATCGTGGCTGCACATGTGGATTGTCGTTTTGTGTTCGTTTGTGAATGCTTGTTAGTGTTCTTGGAAGCGAGATTGATCTTGTTTGTGGTCTCTAACACTGAACAATATTGAGAAATGAAATCGTAAAACTGTTTAAAACGTGGGAGTTTCAGTACCTATTAGTGAGGACTGCCATTTTTGTAATGTGCGTGCATCGAATTTTGTGGTTAGAATGTATACTAACAGATCGTCCCAGTGCGCCGTGGGACATTTGAGTGCCTTGAGGGCTTGTACATGCCGGATTGCCCCGTCCGCGATTCGACGCAGCTCGGTTGAATCTCCCTTGGTGAGCGAGGATAGATCTAGTATTGCTTTAATGTGCGTGTGAACGATCATTCGTCTGTTGTCATAACGTTCCTTTAGAGCATCCCACGCTATTTGATAATTTGCGGCGGAAATTTTCAATGCACTGATCACGCTACTCGTGTCACCGATAAGTGAAGACTTTAAGTATTGCAATTTTTGTACGTCACTGATTGACGCGTTTGAATGTATAACTGAATTAAATGAATCGAAGAATACAACCATTCATATTTGCCAGAAAACGTTGGAAGATTCAACTTGGGCAATCTGACACTGAATTGATTTTCCGATCGATTAGATGCGCCTGACGTAGATGGTGACATCGGTTGCGTCCGCAGAGATAATGTTGGATTAAGAAGTTCACGAATCTTCGCGCAAAGCGAATAATATGCTTCCTCGAAGCCGACCCGGTCATTGCTCTCATTTTCGTCAAGCAACTCTATCTGCGCTTGTATTGTGTTATATTGAGACTAATATTCGTCTCTAACTTAATTCTGCGTTCCTCAAGTTGAGCAGCAATGGCCGGGGTGGCAAGAGAAATCGCGTCAACGTATGTGTAAATCCGCGTGCACGTGCCCTTGACAATCGCTCTATGTTTTTTGAGCACATTATTACAGATTTTATTTCATAAAATTATTATTAGATACCTTTATAATTACAATAATTATATATAGTAATGTTTTCATAAGATTAATCTGTAATAATATAAATAACAGTAAATTTTATTGTTTATTAATATAAACAATTAATATATTTTAATATAAAATATTAATATATTTTAAACCTGCGGGAAATGATGCTTGTGTTTTTCTGTTGAATTACTTACGTTTAGCTAAAAAATCTGAGTTAATTCTGTGTGATACAATTCTAATAATTTTCAAAACATGCAAGCAATTTAGCAGGAAAACAAGCATCATGTGTCGATCTTTAATTAAATAGTACATTGTGTAATAGTGGGGGATATTTGCATACAGCGCGACCGTGCGCGAGCGCACGTGCCAAACTATAAACAAATATGCCCCGACTCGCTACACATAGAATTTTTCATTACAAGTGCTCGTCGTAATGTGCCCTATACAGCAACGTTTTTGCGCAAAAGAGTGGGATTAGAGAAATACGTCAACGACTTGAGGTATTGGCTATTTACCGCACGTAAAAGCGTTGCGGTAAAGGGCACATTACGTGCATGCGTGATGAAAATATTTTTACAGTACAATATTTATACAAGATTTATATAATTTTATATTTTCTTATTTTTGTATTTTCTTTTATTTTGCAACGCACTACAATTATAAATCTATTTCTTTTAGTTTTTATACATTTAATTTGCTGTTCATTCAAATAACCTAGGCAGCTAGAAAGAAACAGAGAGAAAGAGGAAACTAGAGCAAGTAAGATAGAAGTTTTTAGATGGCGTTACTGAGCAACTTACCCATTTCGCGCATGTGCACTCCATTTTAGGCTTCACTAACATTAAAGGTGCCGACAGAGAGTTGCGCTCATAGAGCTAGTAGTACTAGAGTACGCATTGTCGGAAATTTGAGGAGTGGGGGTAATTCTATCTAGAAAAGGACGCACTCATTTGGAACCGTTTCGTTCTCTATCGTTTCGCGCATGCGTATAGCCGTATACTCTGAGAGAGGGGATTGAAAGAAAGAATAAGGAATTGAAAGAGCAACCCTTGGCACTGGGAAACCCTTAACCTTATCAAACTCAATTCTTTGTTTGATTCCAAAGTGATCAGACTCAATCAGGCTTGTCCGATCATGTAATGATGAAACTTTTCTCGTTCGACTCGTTCTTTTTTTCGATCCCCTCTCTCAGAGTATATGGCTATACGTATGCGCGAAACGAGAGAGAACGAAAAGCCCCAAATGAGTGCGTCCTTTTCTAGATAGGATTACCCCCACTCCTACAATGCGTACTCTAGTACTACTATCTCTACGGTTGCGCTACTGTATATACTGTGGTAATACTGTCAGTATAAACGAATACTGACAATATTATTGATTGTGAGTGGTTAATATATATTAATGGATTGACGTAGAATACTGACTATAATTTGGATTTAAATACATGCTTTTTCCTTAAGATCCATATCGCCATAGATAATAATATACGTCAAATCACATCAAACTGAAGTGAAATATTATCAATAATACCTGATCGTATAAGATTGTAAAAACTAATGCATATTGTCAGTAATACTGATTAGAACCTAGATATCAGAGAAGCGCAACCAATGTTCCGCGTCCTGATTGACGTGACTGTCAGCCAATCATTCATTGGTACTAAAAATGGCTGACTAATAGACGATTGGTGGATTTCATCGTTCGTCTACAAACGACGCCATTTTTAGTACTTTTCTTACAATTAGTAGTTTTGCGATACTGACTTAAGCCGGTTGCGCTTCTCTGATATGTAGGACTCTAAGGACTGCGCAGAATAAAAGGAACAAGGAACAGAGAACAAAGAATAAGAATTTCAAGCTATCAGAAATTATGTACTGTAGAATACACACTGTTTATTCCACAGTACATGATTTCTGATAGGTTGAAATTCTTATTCTCTGTTCTCTGTTCCTTTTATTCTGCGCAGCCCCTAATACTGATTAATAATACTGAGTCAGTATTACTGAACAGTATTACCGTGTAGCGAGACGTTTAGAGTTATCCAAAATGTATCGCGTGGAGGTTGCTCGGATTTACATCTCTTGTGTGCACGCGTGTGTGTGTGTGAGAGAGAGAGAGAGAGAGAGAGATGCAAATCAGGATTTTGGGGTTCGTCACACTCTCAGTATTTTTTGACTAAAAATCCTCTCTGTTACACGTATGTGCAACACACATACACACAAACGCGCGGGCGCGCATGCATGCAGAGGGTTTCATTTAAAAACATTAAATTGACGTGATCTTAACAACGTCATCCTAGGTAACATACTATCCTAGGTAAATAACCACGTTAAATGCGTCTTTTTAAATCTTAAAACGTGTCTAAAGAATTTTTTTCTACAATACATCGTTTATGAGATATTGGATATTCAAATATCCAATTCTAATATCGAATTCTTTTAATATTTTCAAATATCCAATTCTTTTAAATAAATAAAAAATTTTTTATTTTACTATTTCAGTTTCTGTTAACAATGATGAAGAAAAAAATAAAAATGAGCAAAATAATACAAACAATATATGTAGTAAAACGCCAAAAGGAATAATAAATATAGGGTTGATATATGAATGTAATAAAACAGATACATCAACTTCAGATTGTATTTGCAATGACGAGGAAAAAAATAAGAATAGTCATAATAATATAAGCGATATACGTAGTGATACCCCAAAAAAAAATAGAAGATTCTTATATGAATATGATTATAACAAAACAGATTCAATTGAACGATTAGAAAATCTATATCATGAAAATAACGACATAGGTGAATTGAATTCTTATTTTTTGTTACCTAAAAAATCACAATCCCTAAAACAAAAGTATTGTATAGATCATGGTAAAGTTCATGTGACGTCCGCCGCGCGATCCGCGACACACGAACGTCACCGCAGCTGATCCCAAAGCTGTCGTCATAGCAACCGAAACGCGGATCAGCGCTCCTTGCGAAAAGCGCCTCATGCCGAAAATATCATGACGCGCCTATCGCGTGATTGCTAGAGTCCCTCTAATAAGAGTCTGGCCACCTGCTCGCACGATTTTGATTGGCCGCCGTCATTCGTGGTCTAAATTAAGTGGGGTATGCCTCCCACCAAGAAATGTTGTAGCGTACGTTATTTTCGCGGTGACGAATAACCTGCAATTTCTTGCGTGCAATGAAATAAAATTGTTAAGTCAAAGAAAAATTATTAAGTCAAAGTAAGTGTTTAGTGACTATATCATTGTAATTATGTGTATTTATATCATTGCTTTTATCATTGTAATTATGTGTAATTATGTGTATTTATATGGAACTAAGCGCTATTCATTTCCCTGAAAATCTTAAGCAGAGTTCCTGGACTGTAGCCTTAGCCATGCCAGGCTGCTCGGCTCCGAATTGCTCCAATTCAACAATAAAAGGATATTCGATGAAAATATTTCCGAGAGATGCACAACGTCGAGCAATATGGACAACGAACGTTTGAGGAAAAAATAAGATTCTGCAACAGGAATCGCTTATGTGAAGTATATATATTATACAATACATATATATGTAAACAATATTGTATTTAGTACGATAATATATTAATTGAATTGTACGATGAAATAGATTCATTTCGCACCAGAGATGTGGGAAACCAAACGGTCAGATGGAAATCGCAAACTTATGCCTAATGCAGTGCCAACATTATTTTGGCAGTACATAGAGAATGCGACTAACCCTGGTGGAATTGAGAAAGTGCTCGTTGACATTCGACCAGTAGAAGTTATGAATGAGAGCATTGTCGAACCGCAGAACGTACAAGTAGGTTGAAGTTTATTAACACATAATTAATAATAGATTAATGCGTGATCTCCATTATTAATACAATGAACATATCATTGCAGGAAGAATTAGCTGAAACACATGCGATTATGGAAGATTGCGAATTTGTTGCCATCAATGACAGGCAGGTATGCAATGAGTTACAAGATGCATCGAAAGTAGTGGAAAAATCTCCTCTTGATCCGTGTACCAACGACAATGATATGTTCTGCGAAATAGAATGTAGTAGAAATTTGCAGATAAATCTCCAAGATACAGCTGGTTCTGCTGGATGTTCTGCTGGATGTGTTGTTGCATCAAAAGAAATTGCTAGATTACAACGGCAAGTATGGGCATACAAGAGGAAATGGAAACAGTGCGAGTACAAACTGCGGAAAGAACGTGACATCGGAAATCCGTATAAGACGATAATGTCTGAAATGTTTACTCCTGACCAAATTAAAGCTCTCCGAAACAAGTCGAGGAGCATACAGAAGTGGTCAAATAAAAGTATCGAAAAAACGTTGAAACTGAAATTCATTTGTGGAACAAGCGGATACTTGGAATTGAAGAAACAGGGAATTCCATTGCCACATTTGCGAACTCTACGCCGAAAATTGGAAGGTCTTAAATTTAATTCTGGTATATTGCATGACGTGTTTAATTTTTTAAAATTGAAAATCTCTTCTTTTACTAATAATGATAAGGAATGCGGTCTTGTATTAGACGAGATGAGCATAACACCGGGACAAGTTTACGACAATAGTTCCCAAAGTTATGTAGGGAAAGTCACTTTACCTGCGCATGACGGTGAAGTTACGCATGCACTCGTATTTATGTTAGCGGGGTTTGCACGGCGATGGAAGCAAATCGTAGCTTATTATTTCACAGGTACCAGTTGTGATGGTGAGGTTTTAAAATCTATAATTTTGCAGATTTTGATGAAATCTGAGGAAATTGGACTAAGAGTCAATACCGTTACTTCAGATATGGGTTCTTCCAACATGTCTCTATGGAAAAGCTTTAATATTAGTGCGGGAAGGGATTCGGTAACCGTAAATAAAATTAAGCATCCTTGCGATTCGGAACGCTACTTCTTTTTCATAGCGGATGCACCACATGCGCTGAAAAATTTGAAAGGTGCACTATTGAGTAACAAAAAGTTGTATCTTTCGACTGCAATTCAAACCGAGTATAAACTACCGACGAACATTGTATCTGTAAACCATTTTTTCCATTTGATCGATTGTCAAAAAGATATGGAACTAATGATGACACCGAAATTAAGCGAAGCGGATGTAGATGTAACTAATCAATATAATAAGATGCGAGTAAACAGAGCGCGACATGTTTTAAGCAGTGATGTTGGCAATTCATTGCAATATCTTGCGAGTGAAGAGAACAAACCAGAGTACATGGTAACTGCGTGGTTTGTGAATCAAGTATCTCGTTGGTTCTCACTCATAACTTCCAGACATGTCAGCAGAGCTTTAGGCAAGTACAATGTAAAGCGCTATCAAGAAAGTATTTTGTTTTTAAAAAAAATGATACAGTTATTTCAAAATCTAGCTATCAGGGAAAAAGGCCACTTTAAACCGGTTCAGAAAAGCATTATCGTAACAACTACGTCGATAATCGAATTAGTAGATTACTTATTAGAAAAAAGAGACTTTAAATTTCTGTTAACTGGCAGATTGACACAAGATTGTGTCGAAAATTTATTTTCGGTCATACGCCAGAAAAATGCTATTCCGAATGCATTACAATTTAAGCATAATTTGAAATTGATTTTCGTTTCAATGTACATGAAATGTATCGAGTCTGGAAATTATGACTTTGACGATAGATCTTATTTGTCAGGCTTTTTAGACCATACTACGACTATACATAACGAACACAAAAAAAAGTATATAAAAAACAACACTGATGACTTAAGTCAATCTGTCATACATTTCGAAGACGTAAAACAATTAAGCAACATAGAAATGAATATTCTGTACAGT